GTGTCCCAGGTGTGTCCCCAGGTGTGTCCCAGGTGTGTCCCCAGGTGTGTCCCAGGTGTGTCCCCAGGTGTGTCCCCAGCTGTCCCTCACGTCCCCAGGTGTGTCATTTCCCCAGTGCCACCATTCCTGGCTGTCCCCAGGTGTGTCTCACCTGTCCCAGGTGTGTCCCCAGGTGTGCAGGGTGAGGCTCAGGTGTGTCCAGGTGTGTCTCACCTGTCTTAGCTGTCCCTCACCTGTCCCTCACCTGTCCCTCACCTGTCTCACCTGTCCCAGACCCAGATTCTGTTTCTCAATGATTTTTTTCCATTTTTTGTGATATTTTTAATCATTTTTAACGGGATTTTTTCGGGGGATTTTTTTTGGATTTTTTTAGGATTTCAGTTTTTATTTAATTTTGGTTTTTTTAATTTTTCTCCCCTGTTCAGCCAAGCTGCCCCGTGACCTGTCTCACCTGTCCAGCAGGGGGCGCTCTGCCCTCTCCCAGCGCCATTTTTTTCCATTTTTTGTTCATTTTTAACGGGATTTTTTTTGGGATTTCTTTTGGGGGATTTTGGGATTTTTTTTTAGGATTTCGGGATTTTTTTTTCAATTTTATTTTTTTAATTTTTTCTCACCTGTCTCCTGTGTCGCAGCCAAGCTGCCCTGTGACCTGTCTCACCTGTCCAGCAGGGGCGCTCTGCAGTTTCTCATTGATTTTTTCACATTTTAGGCCCATTTTCTTGATTTTTAACGGGATTTTTTTTGGATTTCACGTTTTTTTTAGGATTTCGGGATTTTTTTTTTAAATTTTTTTTTTATATTTTTCTCCTGTCTTAGCCAAACTGCCCCATGACCTGTCTCACCCGTCCATTTCTCAGTCATTTTTTCCCATTCTTTGCTCATTTTTAACGGGATTTTTTTGGGGATTGTTTTTGGATTTTGGGATTTTTTAGGATTTCAGTTTTTATTAAATTTTATTTTTTAATATTTTTCCCAGCCAAGCTGCCCCATGACCTGTCTCACCTGTCCAGCAGGGGGCACTGTGCACTCTTTTAGAGATTTTTTTTTTCACATTTTGGCCCCATTTTGTTCATTTTTAATGGGATTTTTTTGGGGATTTTTCTTGGGATTTGGGGTTTTTTTTCTTTAGGATTTCAGATTTTTTTTTTTAATTTTGATTTTGTTTTGTGCTTTCCCTCACCTGTCCCTCACCTGTCTCATCTGTCCCTCACCTGTGCCATTTCTCAATGATTATTTTCCCATTTTTTATTA